AGCGATGGCCTCCAACCTGAGAGCGATGGCCTCCAACCTAAGAGCGATGGCCTCCAACCTAACAGCGATGGCCTCCAACCTGAGAGCGATGGCTTCCAACCTAAGAGCGACGGCCTCCAACCTAAGAGTGATGGCCTCCAAGCTAAGAGCGATGGCCTCCAACCTAAGAGGGACGGCCTCCAACCTAAGAGCGATGGCCTCCATGCTAAGAGTGATGGCCTTCTACCTAAGAGCGACACCTAGAATTCAAAAAGGCATCTTCATGTGGTGACTTTTTGTTTCTCCTTCTTTGCAAAGATGACTTCTGTTCGGATGCGTTTCTATTTTTTCCGTGCTGCTGGACGTAGAGCCTAGCTTTGACTGCTTGATCTCTTCGGTTGTTCTCCGACCCGGAGGTCAAGAGCTTCAAGGAAGCAGAGAACGACCTGGACCTTCAGAGGAGGACTGTATCAAGCTTCTGGGTTTCTTGGCATGGTTTTCTGCATGCCTGTAAACTTGTGAGTATTTTCAGATGAAATTATCATTCATCCTGACATTTTCATTGCAGTCGAGGCCCGGACTGCCAAGAGCGGTGTACCGTACAGCCCTGAGATTGCTTGGTAGGACGTCATGACCTTTACACATTCACATCGAAGCTTAATTTCATCATGCAAACCTGAGCTCTATGACTGCGTCCAGCTACAGCTACTGGTAGCTTAGTAGCTTCCTTCTGTTTACTACTCAGCTATGTAGTGCTCTACCCCCCCTTCAAGAAAGCAAGAAAAGGTAAGAGAGGGTTTTAAGATGGCGCCCGGGCTGGACGCTACTAGGGGCTCCGGAACAAGGACGCTACTAGTAGCAAGGCCCGGACGTGCATTGTTTCAGGTTCGGCACCAAAAAGCTGGCATAAACTGCCTCTTGGGCTTTTGCGTCAATGCAACTGTCGTTGAAATCGGCTAATTCTGCTTCAAGCAGTAAATCAGCAAAGCTAGCGAATCAGTTGTAAATGGCAGCTGTTGTTTGGATCTAGTCCAACATTCCAAGTTTCGACCTGTCTGGCCAAAGATGCTGGACTTGCTAATGATACACTGATACACCTGATGTGCGCTGGTGGCTTTGAAGTAAAACGGTCTTGTGCTTAAGAGACTGGTGAGTGTCTTTGCTCCTCTTTGTGTCATGTTCCTTGATTGGTTTTGAACATTCACTTTGCAGCTTTGCATATCGCTCAGGCTGTTCTCGTTGGCAGCAAAAGAGCAAAAGGAGCAATCATTCTCCAGACAAAAGAACTCCAAGAAGACCTGGAAGGAACACAGATGCCATTCTTTTGCTTGGAAGTACAACACACCTCCAACTTTTCCAAAAGCAGACACTACAAGTGTGGGAGCATCTGGAACACACTGAAGAAGGGAGACATCTCCAACCTTTTCCAGTTTTGGCCTCAGACACGAGACATCCGAGACCTCCACGAGCTTCCTGGTGACCCAGGTGAAGATCCATGGGGTGCGCCCGCTACGATTTGCATTCACCCTACTAGCGATGGCCTCCAACCTAGTAGCTTCTTGCTACTAGTAGTAATGCCTAGCTACTAGTAGCATCCTTGCTACTAGTAGCGATGCCCTTTTTACTAATAGCCATGGCCTCCAACCTAAGAAAATTATTTGTCAAAGATACGGGCAAATGACGCAGATTTCTGGTGGGGACAGGAACGGAGGTTCGGATGTTTTATACACGGGAGAACACGCAGGACAAACCTTGTTGGTGAACAGTTCTTAGGAACCCACGCTGCATACTGCTTGCATTTCGGCGCAGCCACACAAAAATGGGACCCCGACAAATTCCTATCAGAGTGAGTACATAGTGGTTTATACAGATGCACTTGATTTGCTTTGACTGCCTTTATTCATTGCCATTTCGGCTAAAGAGTCTTTCAGGGCCGGCTTCATGGAGCACTTTGGCTTGAAAAGACGACGTGAAGACCATTGATTCAACCTGACACAGATCTGGTGCTAGGTACACAAGTAACTTACAAGCTTGCAACCAGACAAACACGATTACTCAGTTTTGTTTTGGTCACTCTGGACTCTGGAGAGCTGCTTTCAGGTGGGGGTGGGCTTGAGATGCCGCGCCTTGGCAGAAACTGTGGAGACCAATTCTCAGATGGACACTATGTTCCAGACTGGAATGGCCCAAGCAGTGGTCCGCATCGGTAAATATCTAGGAGCAAGGATGCTACTAGGGGCTCCTGGCCTTACTACCAGGAACAAGGACGCTACTAGGGGCCATTACTACTAATTCTGGTTGGACAGATTGAGGAAAGTGCACCGGCACAGCAACGCCATGATGCCTGATGGTGACGAGAAGGACTCCGATGTGGCTTAACCTAAAGCGGCGGAAAGAGCGGATCTCTGCCAAAGCATGAAGATTCCGGCACTCCAACCTGCGGAACAGAGAGTCCATTTTCTTGACTTTATCAAAAGGATTTCATTGAATTGCTTCAGGTTAGAATGTGGTCTCCTGATACAGATCGAGCAGAACTGAGGAATCTTGGAGCAAAGAACCAACAAACATGTAGACACAATGAAGAGGGGTAGCTTGCTGCAGCACTGCAGCAATGATGCGTGCTTTTTTCTTTGCAAAGGTTATTTGTAGATATGCTCAAGCAGGAAACGACCGCTGATGAATGACATGAATGCCAAGGCTTGACAGGAAAAGCACCATTGAAGAACTGCAAGACAAACTGCAGTTTGCAACTGGGCAGATTTACGGTTGCGCTGCGATAAATCGGTCGCTGCTTTCCGATTTTGAGGCATTAACAGAATTGGATGAGACCAAAGGAGTCTGGGCTGAGACCAAGCGATGCCCTTTGCTCCTAGTAGCGTCGTTGCTCCTAGTAGTACGGCCAGGAGCCCCTAGTAGCTTCTTTCTCCTACTAAGCATCACGTTGGCTTTTCTTTTGTTTTGCAGACGACATATTGGTCACGCCAGATTCTAAGGAGCCCTGGATGCAGCCCAGAAACGAGTGAGCGAATTGGAATCCAATGCGCCAGAGTCACTGGGAGCAGTCTCATCGCATTATGACAGGTCCACGTGTCGCCGAGCTGGTACTTACCAAGAGCGCTGGAAAATGACTGGACCTATTTTTGTTGGAACGCTATTAGGTCAGGTCTGTTGACACTCTGCAATTTTTTGAAGACACACATCGTAACAGTTATACTGTGTTATTTTTACATTCCCCTGCTACCATGAGGCCTTAGGCCTGGAATTTAGTACACAAACGGGCGGGGTTTTGGCATTTCACACGAGGGGTTGGTCGCGCCAGCCGTTGCTGCCGTTTCTGAGGCCAAAGTCGGTGGATGTGAGAATAGAACTCGCAAAATCCATTTTGGCTTTTCTCCTTGTCCTAGCTGCTGCAGCTTGGAACGAGATGGCCATGTGTTCTGTTTACAATTTCTGGAACAAAACACTTCACTTGAGTGGCCACTGCATTTGGAAGCGTGCGCTCATTAAATCCAAGGAGATTACATATTTTGTGATGATGCTACAAGAAAGTGCGCTTTTTGGCGAACAAGACTGTAGTGGCGTGGCGCTGGTTGCCAGAAGGCGTGACGGCAGCCTCGTGGGCCACCACACGCAGTTGGTTAACGCCAAACCTGTGCTGATGCGGCCTGTGTCTTTTTTGCTCATTATATGGCATGGTTAAAAAAAAGTTTCAGAATGCCCTTGTTACTGGTAGCTTCTAGCTACTAGCAGTACTGCCCTTGTTACTAGTAGCTTACTTAAGCAACCAGTTCAAAACAGAGAACTTTTCCAGTCAGTTTGAACTCGTTTGAATTCCGCTGAGCGCGCAGGAGCTGTGAAGTTTGTGGTTCTGGCACACTGCTCATGCCCGTCGGCGGGGACTATGAAAAGAGTTGGTCCGACTTGCGGCTTGGAAGAAGAGGAAAGCTGCTGAAAGACAGCTTTGACTTTCAGTGGAGCCTCCAACCTAGTAGCAATGGCCTCCAACCTATATTATAGCGATGGCCTCTAACTTCATAGCAAGGACCTCCAACCTATTTAATAGCGATGGCCTCCAACCTAGTAGCAATGGCCTCCAACCTATTTAATAGCGATGGCCTCCAACCTAGTAGCAATGGCCTCCAACCTATATTATAGCGATGGCCTCCAACTTAATAGCAAGGACCTCCAACCTATTGAATAGCGATGGCCTCCAACCTAGTAGCAATGGCCCCCAACCCATATTATAGCGATGGCCTCCAACTTAATAGCAAGGACCTCCAACCTATTTAATAGCGATGGCCTCCAACTTAATAGCAAGGACCTCCAACCTATTTAATAGCGATGGCCTCCAACTTAACAGCAAGGACCTCCAACCTATTTAATAGGGATGGCCTCCAACTTAATAGCAAGGACCTCCAACCTATTCAATAGCG